TGTACGAAACCGGAAGATAAACGATGTCCTGACCCTAAACCTAACCCTAACCAAAACCCTCACACTGACCCTAATCCTAACCCTAAACCTAACCCTGACCCGGACCCTAACCCTGACCCTACTTTACAGACCCTAACCCTAGTTTCCTAACCCTAACCCTGACCCTGACCCAAACCCTACTTTCCTAACCCTGACACTTACCCTGACCCTAACCCTAACCTTTGATTCCTAACCCTAACCCTAGACCTAACTCTTGATTCCTAACCCTAGCCCTAAACATAACCCTAACCCTAACCCTGACCCTAATCCTAAACCTAAACTTAAGCCTTATCCTAACCCTGACCCTAACCCTAACCCTAACCCTTCATAATTGTGAGAAATAAATATTTTTTGGTTAAACTTGTTTGGACATATTGTACAAACCTATTTAACATCCACAATTATAACCTAATATTATGTATAGAGTTTAACTCAGTGTTTGCAAGATTAATTTGACTATTTTTAAATTAATGTCTATATTGCCATGATGCTATTACGATTTTCTGGCCTGGGATCTTCCTATTGGTGATGTAATGAAAATGGCCGACTTGGATGTGGGCGGAGTTGGATATGTACTTGATTAATGCTAGCGTGTTGTTATTAGCCATTAGCCGCAGCTAGCAATTCAAGGCTAACTTCACGTTAATGATCATAAACAACGTAAATAAATACACCGTACAAAAAAATACCTGTACATGAGGTGGATTTTGACACCTATTGGTGACCTAATCAAAATGGCCGCCCAGTGATGGTTGGGGGGGGGTTTCTCTCCTTTCCTCCGCAGGCTAATGAGGCTGGGGACTACTTCCCCATCTGGGGGACCTGCCAGGGCTTCCAGCAGCTGTCCGTGCTCACGGCCAACAGGAACCTGCTCACGCTGACCGACACCAGGGCCGCCGCCCTGCTCCTCACGCTGACCCCCGGTAGGCCCGGAACATTTTTATTATTATGATTATTATTGTTTTATTATTATATATTATTATTATATTATTATTATTATATTATTACTCACGCTGACCGACACCAGGGCCGTCGCCCTGCCCCTCACGCTCACCCCCGGTAGGCCCGGAACATTTTTATTATTATTATTATTATTGTTTTATTATTATATATTATTATTATATTATTATTATTATATTATTACTCACGCTGACCGACACCAGGGCCGTCGCCCTGCCCCTCACGCTCACCCCCGGTAGGCCTGAATTAATCTTAACTTGCATCTAAGTATGAAATATTTAACAGCAGCTGGGTGAGAATAGAGATAGAATATAAAAATACTGTATTTTCCAATGGAGAAAGTCAATTTATATGTATATATATTAGGGGTGGGACGGTTCACAAAATCCACGGTTCGGTTCGATTCACGGTTTCGTGGTCACGGTTTTCGGTTCGGTTCGGTATATGTTGATTGTTAGGAAAATCTATTATGTCTTGTGTAGTCAGGTTAGAACTGAAAGAAAAAAGCAGTCTGACATTTGATACATTATTGTGACACTCTTAGGTTAAAAGTAGGTGAGAACTACAAGTGCTAATTCCAACATGTGCTTCCCTCTAAATGCAAAGTGGTCCATACAGCAGACCTAGAAACCACCACTGAATTGAACCTGCCACACAGACCTGTTTAACCATTTGCTC